AAAAAAAGTATACCCTTATCCCTAACCTAGCTATGCTTTTCCCTATCTTATGAACAGCAGCTACACTTTCCCTCCTCTTACTAAGCATGCAGCTTGAGAATGAATCTAAAATGGATGCCTTCCAGGAGGTGGGAGGGTCTGCTAGGGAGGGTGTGCTGCTAATTGGCTGGAATGTGTCTGCTGACTGTGAGGTACAGGGTCAAAGTTTACTCACTGATGACGAATAGGGGGCGGGTCGAACCGCGCATATGTTCGCCCGCCGTGGCGAACGCGAACATGCTATGTTCGCCAGGAACCGTTCGCCGGCGAACCGTTCGGTACATCACTATTCCTTATTACTGAATCTAAAATGGATGCTGTCCAGTAGGTGGGAGGGTCTGCTAGGGAGGCTGTGCTGCTAATTGGCTGGAATGTGTCTGCTGACTGTGAGGTACAGGGTCAAAGTTTACTCAATGATGACGAATAGGGGGCGGGTCGAACCGCGCATATGTTCGCCCACCGTGGCGAATGCGAACATACTATGTTCGCCAGGAACCGTTCGCCGGCGAACCGTTCGGTACATCACTATTCCTTATTACTCTCACATGTTATCTCTCTGCCATCACATACAAATCCCTCTGCTACCTCTTGTCTCATTTCCACATTTCAACCTTTAGATTGTAATCTCACGGGCAAGGTCCTCTACCTGTTCAATTGGTATGTTCTTATGTTCTTATTGTGTTTGTCTTTTTCCCAATTGTACAGCGCTGCGGAATTTGTTGGTGATTAATAATTGCCAGTAATAATAATAATAATAATAATAATAATAAAGGCGTGATGGAGCCAGGTACCAACAATATAGAATTTTAAAATGATTCTCATGATGACTAGAGCACTATGTGATACCTCCAGTTCATATTGAACTTCCAAATCTTTTTACTATGATTTCATTAAAGATTATTTAGATGTGGGCCTAGGAGAAATATGGGACTAGAAAAATTAGATTATGCCTTTACAAATTGGATTGAGGAGAAACATTTTTTCTAAGTTTTATATTTTCAATGATTTATTGCCATTACCCAATTCCAATATTTTAAGAGTACATTTCGATCATAGATAATTGTCCAAGTCAAGTTTTTCTTTAAATTGATCAAATGTTAAAAGGGAATTCCATGAAAATAAAATTATCCAAATTATATAAAGAATGAGAGTGCAAAAAATTTACATTTAGAGGGGTTAAGTAATAATTTAGAATGGATAATGGCATTGCTTATGATAAACTGGAGAATGGTCTCACACTACTAAAAATTATATCCCACGCCTTGAGGGTGATCTTGGTGGAAGGAAATATGGTTTTAGTCTTAGGACATCTGTTTAAGGGTAGCCATAACAGCTCTTTAATAGAATATGGTCGAAATTTTTTCTGCTACAATTTCCAGTAACCTCATCCTGTTATGATCCAAGTTTAATTTAAAAGCAGAAGCTGAATTATAATACTTCCTAAACTTTGGGACACAACCAAAACACTGTTCACCTTTAAATGTTGCATAGTTATCAACTTAATCCTACTCGGTTTATTATTCCAGATGTATGTGATCAATGTTGAGTGAATCTTGTTTAAAAAGGACAATGGAATGGACAAAAGCATTGTCTTAAGGTAGTATAATATCTTGGGCAGAATAGTCATCTTACGCTAACTCCATACCACACAACTTTTAAATCTCTTTCTGTAAGCCAGGCCATGTTTTTTTTTTTTTTAATTCAGTTGCAAATGAGGCTCCCAGAGACATTATTCAGAGACTGCATTTTTATCACATTAAAGATAAATTTGTATCTGAAATGAGACAGGGATTTAAACTACCCGATCAGTACAAAAATGTTAAACATTTTCAAAACTTATCTTCGCTAACATAATAAAAATTATGAAAAGAGAATTTCAGATATTTACAAAAGCTCTTCAAAATTAAAATATAAAAAGGGATTTTTTCCATTAAAATTTTATTACATAATAAAGGTCAAAATTATATCATAACAACACCAAAAGAGGGATAAGATTTTCTATCTGCAATGGATTCGACGAAACCTCATACACAAAAATCCATAAGAAAACCTTGTAGAAAGGAGAAGATGAAGTAATAAATAAATTCATACATCCAGAAACTATGATTTACAAGAATAGTTTCATTCGGTTCCCCCTTCTTTTATTTCTTTTTTTCCTTCTAGGATAAGAAATTTTGGAAGAAGAAACCTTTGGTACAGAAAGCCCTAAGGAAATAAACAGAACATATTTAGAAATTTTCTTTTTATTAAATGGTTCAAAAAAATCCTAATACCAGTAAAGTTATATTCTAAATATGTTTCTATTTGGTGTATACTGTGTTGCAAAAATTAAGATAGGAGCCGCACTCAATCCCAGCAAACACCAGGGGTACTGGAGCAGGACAGAACGATCAGGCAGACAAAATAAAATCTCCAGGCACACAAGGTGTTCAAGCCGCAGGCAGATTTAATGACACATAAAAGAACAGCAATGTTTCGACCTTTTAAGAGGTCTTTGTCTCTCAAAATGTTGCTGCTCTTTTTTGCGCCAGTAAATCTGTCGAGGCGGCTTGAACACCTTGAGTACCTGGAGATTTTGGTATATATTGATTTAAGATTCTTAAGTGTCCCAAATGATGGTGTATCTTTGTATACCATGGTGTGTGTCTATCAAAGTTTTTTACCCTTTTTGGAAATTTTCCCTTTTTTTAAAAATCTTTTATTTTTCTTGTTTTGTTTGTTATTTTTAATTTTTATTTCTGTTTATCCAATATAATTATATTTCTTAAATGCCTTTGCATATTCCATATTTGTACTTTACCAATAAATTTACATAATACTGTATTGATTCTCTCTATAATGTATATCGCATATATTATACTATGGTTCTATGTCACGATATATTGGCTGACAATATTTGAAATGTTTTTTGCTCTGATTTAAGATTTTAATGTTTTTGCTCTTGTGCACTGTGCTTTGGGCTCTCTCTTCATTCAGCTGCCATTTGTTACTGGTTATCATTAGTCTTAAAACAAAAATATGGCGTGCTTGACAGACAAAATTATAACAGATGATTAGGGTAGATACTTGCAATGGATTGGCAAGATAATAATGTTGAATATACGATTGTAAATGTCTATATCTTAATTTGGGACAAATTAGTTTCTTCAAAAAGGTGATGGATCTTGTATCAGAACATGTAAAAGGGAGATTAGTTATATGTCGATATACTCATTTTACATTAGATGGTGAGTTACATATAGTGAGAGAAAGAGATATAATCTGAAAAAGGAATGAGAGTGTGAAGTTATCTAAATCCTGTTAAAATTAATGCTTGCTCATGATTTGTACAATACGTGGAGAATTCTCCATGCAGGCGATAATGATTTTACCTATCACTCAGTACAATACAATACGTACTCTTGTATTCATAGGTTTATGGTGAACGAAGCTACAGTACTGCATGTCTTGAGATCTGGTATTTTGGATATTGCTTGGTCAGTCCACGCTTCTATAGTACTACACTTCGATAAATTTATCTTTGACTCCAGATCAAGGTATGAAAATTGTGTGACTATTTAGTTATGAAAACAGAATATAAACTTCTTGCAGAGACTGTATTAAACAACTACTTTGAGGACAACAATAGTTCTGAGGTTCCTGATAAGTTGATCTGGAATGTGCACAAGGCTGTTTTGCGAGGTCATTTCATACAAAGAACGTCTCACCTGAAGAAAGACAAAATAAAAAAACTAAAAATGCTTAGAAAAAAGAGCTATACAATTTAAAATCAAGCAAATGGAAGTTCAGCAAATAAATGTTGCAAGAATATACTTCGGGTGAAAATATAAAATCTATAGAAGCACTAGGGTTCTCGAACTACATAGATGGTGCTTAAAAAACCCAATGTTTTCCCAAAAAATATATTAAATGTTATACTACGCAAACATGTAAGAGTGATTGAAATTTTTTAAAATAACTCTGTGTTCATTTTTTTGAGAAGCAATAAATCCATTAGTCTCAAATGATGATCTGGATACTTTCCAAAGTAAATTTTAAAGTGATAAAAGGTATGTTGCCATTTTCATAATTCCCATTTTTTATATCATGTGTTTCAGCCTCAGCATTTCTTATAGCAGAAGGATAAGTCCACAAATTATTGGTACCTTGGGCAAATTGTAACTGACCTAGCACACATTTTTATTGAAAAGGAGCATTTGGTCTGTACTTAATGATTCATGCAGGCATAGAGTGACACTCTGCAAAATCCAGATGGGAAGACCTACTCTATCCAAAAAGTAAGAAGTAGGGAGGGGATGATGACACAATAAAATGGAAAAGTAAGAAAAGCAGAAAGATAAAAAGAAATACATACAACTGACACACAACTTCAATCACACACTTAGAGCAATTGCACTCTTCATTCCAGTCATCACACCTGGGAAATCAGGTGTGATGACTGGAATGACAGAAGGAAGAGGGAGGATGGAAAATAGCCTGAGAGACAGAAAGTTGGTAAACTGAGGCTGATAATCATCACTGCTTAAAAATAGGTGAAAGGAAACTTGAAAACAGGTGAGACAGGGACAGAATGACATGAACATAAGAGTCTCTGAGAAAGAAGAGAGAGATACTGGCAGAGGAAGAAGCAAGGGAGGCAAAACACAAGGTGAAAAGATTATTGCATTGGACAGTAAATAATCTTGCAATAAAAAGCCCTGCTATATATGGGCAGCTTTTGAGATCTCTAAATGTATATTATCAGTTTCAGCATCTCCCCTGCCATCCTGCAACATGTCACTGCTTGCCTTTCTTCCAACTCTGACTGGATGTCCTCCCACTTTCTGAAACTCAATCTCTCTAAAACTGAACTCCTTGTCTTTCCTCCTCCTAATACTGATCCTCCTCTCTCGCTCTTCCTTCAAGTCAGTGGTATCCACATCAGTCCATCTTTGCAAGCGCGCTGTCTTGGTGTCATACTTTACTCTGGCCTCACCTTTGAGCCTCACATCCAGTTTGTAGCCAAATACTGTAGATTCCAACTTAAAAACATAGCCTGCATCCACCCCTTTCTTACAAAAGATGCTACCAAGGCGCTTGTCCATGCTCTAGTAATTTCCCACATGGATTATTGTAACCCTCTCCTGACTGGTCTTCCCAAAAGCTGTATCGCCCTGCTACAGTCTCTAATGAATGCCGCTGCCAGACTGATTTTCTTCTCTAGTCGGTCCTCTCACACCTCACCCCTCTGTCAGTCCTTACATTGGCTTCCTGTATCCCATAGGAGTCAATTGAAAGTGCTAACCCATACATATAAAGCACTGAACAATTCTAGCCCTTTTATATCTCTTCACAGATCCATAGGTATGCTCCTCCTCGTTCCCTCCGCTCTGCTCGTGACCACCTCCTGACCACTGCTCGCACCTGTATGGCCAACTCGCGCTTGCAGGACTTCTCGCGGGCAGCTCCCTTCCTATGGAATAGCCTGCCTACCCCATCAGACTCTCCCCTAGTCTTCAATCCTTTACAAAAGTGCCTTAAAACCCATCTCTTTAGGAAAGCTTATGGCCTCCCAGAGTAACCTCTACCCTACACACCTGTCTCCTGCTCTCTCCTATAGGGCAGCACCTTACTCTATCCTCCAGCTCTGTTTCACTCCCACCCCTTTTTGTTTGATATTTCCTGTCCTAATGTGTTTTATAGCCCATCTCCTATGGACTGTAAGCTCGTTTGAGCAGGGTCCTCTTCAACCTATCCTTCCTGTAAGTTTTCTTGTAATTGTCCTATTTATAGTTACATCCCCCCCTCTCATAATATTATAAAGCACTACGGAATCTGTTGGCACCATATAAATGGCAATAATAATAATAACAATAAAAAAACAAAACATGTTACAACTTGTAATACATCGTGTTTTTGAAGCTAGTAGGTTTCAGGCACCATCTTCCCATTTGACCAAATCCCAGGTCACATTTTGTCCAATAACCTGCTTCGCTACTGTGTAAGTTCCACATTTGCATAAGCTCTATCAGTTTTGTCCACATTATAAAGCCAGTCATTGGCTGAGCAAATCTACTGAACCATTTGTCTAATGAATGGCTTTACCGGCAGACTACAAGTAACAAGGCTATTAGATCACCATGTAGTGGTTACGGTACGTAGACTGCTCCTTTAATGGTATAGACGGATTTCTTTAACTCTAGCTACTAGATTAGACATTTTGGAGATTACAATGTTTATCAGATTTCAATCCACTGTATTGCATGCTCTGCTGAGCAAAGCCCTCTTTCTTTATGGATCAGTGTGCTTAATTGTTTTACTCATCGAGACTTTTATTGTACAGTGTTTCTGAATATATATTGCTTCTTTCAAATAATATGCAGTAGTTGTAACAGTGATAGAGAAACAGGGACAAGAAATACAATTTAACTTTTTCCAGTTTACATGTTCACATGTATAAAAAAAAAAAAATTATAAATTGCAATAAATTTTTTTATAGAAATATACGATATATACTGGACAGAGCGACAGGGATTGAACCTCAATTTTCCAACCCTTGCTATCATTTCAGCTCTCTATTTATCTTTATGTTTATATCTTCAGCCTAGTGGCAGACACTTAAAAGGAACCAATAAATTTTGCATGGCTTTGAAAGGCAATCAATAACTCTGCAGTCTCTTCTGAGAAAGCTAATTTGTTTTTTGTTTTTTAATTTTGAGGATTTGTGTTAGATTTCACATGTTAACTTACAGAAATCTTTGATAAATAATTATATGTCACCATCTCCATGAGGTAGTCAGTTTATGCTTTACTTCATGTTTACATAAAAATAAATATCGGCACAAGTGATAAAAAACAGGAATCACAAAATCTCTGTAACATTATTTCATTGCAGTATTATTTGTTGCCCAATGATTCCATGTGATTTGTTATGACATCCTGATCTTATACTTGTGTTCTGTTAAGGCATACCTTAACGTATGGGTGTCTGAGAGAGTAGAAACATAAACCTCTTTATCCTTTAAGGATTGGCATAAATGTGCATGTGGTGTGCTTTTATAAGGGAGGCATAGCATCTACTAGTATTACAAACCTAAAAATCTACCTTTTGTATTTGCAGTCATAAGCAGCCACAATTCCTGTCCATTTCTCCATTTGCAATTGTCTTGCATATGTAGGACTAGATAGATAGGACAGACAGATAGGAAGGCAGGGGGATAAATAGACAGATAGACAGGCAGGCAGATAATCAGGATAAATGGACAGAGCTGATGTACAAATAGACAGACAGGCAGACAATCAGGATAAATCAACCGAGTGATGGACAGATAGACAGGCAGGCAGACAATCGGGATAAATGGACAAAGCTGATGGACAGATAGACAGACAGATACCCTATAATATTTTGGCAAGCTTAAAAACAGTAGCAGCACCAAGAGTCTGGATAGATCTAAAAATTCAAAAACAAATAAAAGAAAAAAATGAGTGCATAATTGTCTAGCAACTCTATTGCATTCTCATGATGCCATATATATTTTTAGCTTAGGACACACCACCATCATCATTTTGAAAATATGTAGAATCATAAGTGTTCATAGCCAGTAATATTGAGAGGCAGTAAGATATTTGTTCTGGAAGCTGGAAAACAATTACTTTAACTGGGCCCTGTTCAAGACATCAGGCCCCAAGTGGAAAGCCAAATCTTGCCTAAATTGCCAGAAGTGTGCTTAATCCTGAGCAGTATGATGCCATGACACAGCACTTTATATTTCTTTATCAAAACAAAATGGGGAAGCAAAAGCAAAAAGTCAATTTATTTTGTACACACAAGTGGTGCGCACTCATAGGCCATGGCTTCTTACCACACTTTAGCAATGAAAGTATAAAATTAAGCTAAATATGGTTGTCTTTCTTCCACACTAACATTGTCGAATTTGCACAACCCCTACCACAGATATTAGAAACATTTCAACTATACTCAGTTTTTTATGTTATATTAACAGGTTTTAGCAAGTGCCAATGACAGACAAACATGCTTGAATATGTTTTTTTCTCTCCTTTAGGGTAAATGTTAGCAGTCCACAGGTGTTTTTACCGTATGCTGGGCCATTTTAACATGGATCTGTAATTAATGTAACTGCCATTAACATCTTTGCTGGAAATGCCACATAAGGTTGAAGGACTCTTAGCCACTCCCTTTTTGTAAGGAGCAAAAAGTCACAGAATTTTAAACTGCAGCCCATTATGTGATTTTATTTTTCCACCTGGAAATTTGCAGAAGTCCCCAGCTGTTATCAAATTACATTTTTGTTAGGATCAATTTTATCTGCACTAGAGTAACACTTTGAATGTTCTATTGCAGGGGTAGGCAACCTTTTAGCAGCACTGTGCCGATATAGGATTGTGATGTCCCGTAGCGTGCGGTCCTATTTTTATTTTTTAAATTGAGGTGTGTATGCTGCCGTATTCTGCTTGTGTTATTTTTACTGTAATTGCTTTGTATCATTGTATTTGTGCATATTTGAGCAATTATATTGTATATGTTCATGAGTAGTTTATGGTATTGTGTATGATACATATGAATGTGGGCTGTGTATGAGGGCTGCTTGTGGACTTGTGTGTGGATGGAAATGTCACCTTGTGTGTTTGGTAGTGTGTGGGGGCTGTTTGGGGTGTTGCATGTGAGATGCTGCATGCGGGTTTGTGTGCATGTATGTGGATAGTTAATGGTGTTGCGTTTGTGGGGATTGTGTGTATATTTGTGTATGGGCTGTTCGTATTATTTGTATGAGGGGAGGGTTATTTCTGTGTATATCTAGCAGTGTGGGTGGCTTCCCTGGGTTCCAGTGGGGACCAGGCTGGCCAGGTATAGCTCAAGTATAGGAGCTGCAACAGCAGCTGCAAGCTGCTCT